TCGTCAGAAAACCCAACGCTATACCCATTGAAACGGGGAGCTTTAGGTTCAGCCAATACTTTTTCTTCACCGTCCCTAACATGAAAGCCAGGAAACAAACATCACAATTCCTATTCCACCGTTCCATGTTGTTTCTCATGTGTGGCTAATGGTTTCTTCACTTTCTATTAAACTTTCGAATAACAACTTCCCTTGAATATGAAATTTTTCAGATTTTAATGTTATCTTAAGCATCATAAATCAAAATCATTCAAGCAAAATTCCAGATTCAATAGTTCTCTCAATTCTCACATCTACGAGCAATAAAATTAAATAATTTCATCAAACTAAATCCTCTCTACTTCGATAACTCGAAACCATTTAACTATGTGTGTCTATATATATATGTGTGTGTGTGTCACTTTTCACTTCCAATCTGATTTTAGATTCCAAACTCACTCCTCACGGCACGCACATACAAACATAAGCATGTTTATGTACATCTCTCTCTAATCTAGTTTCAGATCCAAAGTCAAACACACGAGTTATCATTTATATATACACACATAAATATATTCTCCCATTTACAAAACCAGAACCAACAGCGTGCAATCACAAAACCAGCTCCTACCCGTCAAATGGACAAGAAATCCGAAGCCAAAACCTGCAGAAACCATCAACCCCTGTTCGGCCATTAACAACACAGAGCAAGAAAATCCACATGCAGCCGGATTTGTCAACATGCAACTCCACATTTTAATCGTACAAGCTTTAATCTTCGGCCCTCCTTACTTATTTCATTCGTTTCCCTCAATTTCTCTCACTAAACCCAAACTTCTTTCATAATCAACTTCCTATTTGGCCACCAAAACCAGAAAACAACCTTGGGAGAGGGATTATGAGGCTCACCTTGCTTGATTAATCAGTTTCCATGTAACAAATGAACCCCGATTACTCTCTTCTCCTTCTCTGCTCCTCCTTCCTCAAGATTGTTTATTATAGTTGACCCTAATTTTGCTTTAAAAATGAAACAAAACAAAACAAAATAAATTCAAAAAATTCAACCTTTAAATTTTAAAATGTAAAATACATCTGAAAATGAAAAATTATAACAAAAATCGTAGAGGGAAAGGGTGTGTTAAATATTTTAGAAATAAGTAATTCAGCCGGCCTAAAATGATGTCTGGGCTAAATTTTGAAACAATTTTAATATGGGTTGATCTGGCTCCCCTAACACAACCCATTGATTAAAAAGACTAGTAGACCCACCTAGTTTGAAGGCTAGCTCCCTAGCCCCCCCTTTTTTTTTTAATTTCTAGTTTCTATTTACTCCATTTAATTTGACTATGAATTTATTGGGACACAATAATTAGAAGATAAGGCATGTAGCCGAATATCTGGCCTTATGGTTGATAGTTGCAAATATTTTAGAATGGTTTACATTGCCTGTATTTAAAATTTTTGAAATTAATTCGGCCATGTAACCTTATGCATAGAATCAATAAGAATTTGGTCCATAACAATTTATTATTCAATTTGTAATTTTTTTAAGAAAATGTTTTAAAATAAGATGGGTTAGCCCTCCTATTTATAACCCTTTTATAACAAGTTCGGCTCTAAAAATTCTAAACAATTTTAAGAGAGTTGAGCAAAAAAATTTTTAGAACTTAATGATTCTATTTTTTTAATTTTTGAACGATACAAGAGACATGAGAAATATTATTCTTAACTTATTTGGGACAAGATGAATATAGTGATTAATTAGTCTATATATGAAAGAAAATATGTGTGTGTGTGTGTGTGTGGGTTGATTTTGAGATATGCTAAAAAGAAAACCAGACTTGTTTGTACTCAAGACATTATATCGAGGAGTATAAAAGAAAAACGAGCAAGGGAAGACCATAGTTAATCAGTCAGCAGAAATCTTTCCATTCAAAGTATAAAAGCATCTAAAGGTTAACCCATACGGTTCTTACAGAGCCCTCCACAACTCCACAAAATAAAGCATGATTTCACTTTCATCCAATGCCTCACCAGCAAGGCCATGAAGCTTCACCTTATGCGACGATGACTTTAGATTGAGCATTGATACTTTCGGGACGAGTACTCTTGTCCTGAAAAAATCCCCTCATTTCAACATTTCTAAAGAAACCAGCGAATGATATTGAAAGTGTCGCCCCATTTCTCATCATCCTTCCCATACTCTTCTATTCATGTTTATGCTAGAGCTGGGAAAACAGGCCGAGCCCATCGAGCCGGCCCGTTTAGGCCCTGAAATTATGAGGGTCGGGCTTGATATTTTTCTTTTAAAATGAAAAATAAGCTCTAGAGGGCCGAGGGCTTAAAAGGGCCGGCCCTGGAGGGCCGAGGGCCGGCCCTTTTAAGCCTTTTTATAATTTTTTTATTTTTAAAATTTTTTTATATAATATTAATGTTATTAATTTTTTACATTGTTAATAATATTTCAAATATTTAGTTATTATTATCATTTTAAAATTAAATTTAGTTTTAGACAATAATTTATCCAATTAAATTTTTAAAAAATAGGTTAATTTGGACTTTAATAATGATTTAATTTATATTATATGCGTTGATATTTTTAAACTATATATATATATTTGATAATAGAATATTTTTATACTTATATAACTTGTGATTCTATAATTTGAATTAGAAATTCATGAGTTTCAACAATAATGTTTCTCACATTAAAGTAAAATAATAGTTAGATTGCAAAATTCAAAAATAAAATTCTTATAAAGAAGAAAAACTTGATATTTTTGTTACGAAAGAAAAGCATACTTATGAAGAAAAGTAATTAATTATAGTGATGATGAAGTTTCAAAAGATTAATGATAGTGTTTATTTATTGCACAATTGCATTATAGATAAAACTTTTAGATGTTGTTATCTTGTTAATGAATGTTTTAGATGTTCTTAGATGTTGATGAATATTTATATATGATGATATTTTATATTTGTGACTTAATTTTATTTATATTTATGTCTTTTATTAATAATTTCATTGGTTTATTTTTATATTTTTATAAAAAAAATTTGATAAATATAAAAAAATAGTATTTTTTCTTAAACGGGTCAAAAACCCGCTGGCCGGCCCTGGCCCTGTAGCTTAAGGGCCGGGCCTAGCAAATTGGAGAATTTTTAAAATTTCAATCCTGGAGGGCCGGCCCTTTTAAGCCCGCCAGCCTTGAAGAGCCGGCCCTGGAGGGTCGGGCCGACCCTGATTCCCGGCTCTAGTTTATGTTGTCAAAGATCATATTCATTTGCCTTTAACTAGAAGTTTATGCCTTTAAAAGATTATTTTGGTACTGTCATGTCTCTAGCACTTCCGCTGTTTCAAATTATAGGTTTTTTTTTGAGAGGTTTTCATGGCTCAAGATATAAGAAATTTCTTTTTTTGGTAAAATATTGAAGCATTTATGATTTTTTTTTTTAAAATGCCCTTCTTCTTCTTCTTTACCAACCACTACCTCAAACAGTATATATAGATCCAAATCACTTTATATGAAACTTTTCTTGTATACCCATGCATAATCATCTCAACATTTTCATTTCCACTGTCCCCATTCTTGTTGTCTCATTAAAGCTTAATGTATAACTCAAAAACTCCAAAAAAAAAAAAGAAAAGAAACTGATGTACTTTAGCCCTAAAATTTTAAGGGAAAACTAATATGGGATTCCTTATGGTTTTAAGGGGTTTTGAATCAAGTCCTTATGATTTTTTTCTCTTTTATCCCATCCTTATTATTTATTCCGTTATATGTGCCAGTCCTTTTGTCACTGAAACATACATACGCCGCTAGTTTGAGTTGACTGAGAGTGATGTGGCGATCCACCTAAACACTTGCTAGCATGACAAGATAAAAATGAGAACGACTGAGATGGCAGAAGCAAGAGAGCCAAGGGAACATCATTACTAGGAATTCATAAGGTAAAAGAAGCTCACGAACCTCCAATTTCATAGGTGTAGAAAAGCTCCTCGTCATCAACCTGGTCTTGCTTATTGAGAAACATGACCCTGTATATCTCAAACACCCACTTGTTTACCCAATAGCTTATGCTTCTCGGTTTGCGGCATTAGACCATCAGCGATGGAAACATCCATTGAGCAGCACTAGCAATCATGTTCTTGACATATTCCACGGGGTCAAGGCAGTCGACATAGTAGTGCTTCTTTGGGGAACTGTCTTTGAAAACCGCTAAAGCCATGGTGAGAACAATAGTGAGAGTTGCCTTGTCGTGGTCAACATGCCTAATGATATTTACAATAGTGAGAGGAGACGAATGAGACTGGGCTCGGTTTCTTTCTTCCTTCCTTCCCTCATCCAAACTGCACCCATAAAAGATGGGATATGGGGAATTTTCACGAGCATCCATCAATTATAATAATAAACAGTTTAATCACAGGGAAAAATAGGAGGTGGGGGGGGAGGAGGAAGAGCAAGGGAAGCGGCGAGTAGGGATAGAGAAGAGAGCATGGAGAAGGAAATTAAGGGAAATTTTTTACTTTTTGCAGACTCTTTCTTCCACAGTCAATCTTTTCTTCTTTCCATGTCAGTAGCTCCCCAGTCAGATCACTACTATCCAACTTAAACTAACAGCATAAGTAAACAGAAGGGCTGGCACAGATAACAGAGCAAAAAGAAAGGATGAAATAAAAAGAAAAAAAACCATAGGGACCTGATTCAAAACTAGATTAAAGTACAAGGACTGCAATATTAGTTTTCCCAAATTTTAAATCAAACACCACTGCCCTCGACTGACAGAATTTTTCTCCTTTAGCGAAAGGCATAATGCTTGGGGAACTACGAGCCCCCGCATTACTGCCACGAAAACACAACTGGTGCCACTGGACCTCTGCCAGATTGTTAGGATGCGTCTTCTATCATCATCATAGGCGACGGCAAATAAAATTATCAATATACGCCTTCAACCACAGAAATTCACACCGTACACAAACTTCACAAAAGGGGGTAAAAAAAGCGAAAGAGAAAGCTAAATTCACCTCCAAAAATTCGTATATTGAATCCTCGACGTTATCTATCTTTATGCACATAAAAAGAAAAAATGATACAACCAAATGATCATGAGAGAAAAATGTTTACATCAGGCCAAATGTTTCCTGAATCATAATTGACTATCAATTGCCCATTTCTTAATTTGTGACTATGAACATCTCAAAAACATTCCCGTCAAGAGTAAAATACACTCCAGCAAACAAATACATGAAATCTCCAAATTTCTCTCTTGAATACAGCTTCGTTTCCTTCCCCACAGCAGGTTATAAATCAGTACCTATAACAGAAATTCACCATTATCGATCTTTTTCTCAACTACGTAATTGAACATAATCTACCCAGGGAGTAAAATGTTGGGCATGGAATTAAATTAAAAGAGGACCGGCTTACATTGAAGATGGTATCAATAAGGGTTTTCAATGGAAAATACATTTTGTGTTCTCATAATACTAGTTAAGGATTACAGTTTTATATGTTTTGAATAACACTTCTTGTCTAGGCTTCAAGATCAACTTCAATCATAATTCAAACTACACCCACAATCTAGTTTCTACACATTTGTAATAAATTTTCTAGTAAAAATTTTTTTGCGGTTTTAGAATTACATGATCGCGTTGTTCAAAACAGTTCCATTACATGCCATGGTTATTATTGGGAAACCTCGAAATAAACACCTAGGAACTTCCCCAAACTCTCTTGTTTTCTCCTTCACCATCCATTCTTTTAATGGAAGGAGGAGGGTAAACAAAATCCTCAAAAGCTGGTCAATGATAATCACGATTATTAATAGTCAGGCACTGAAAAAAAGAAGGGACTAAATTTACCTTCAACATAAGCCCAAAGTTTGTGCATAATGATCAAATCTCGAAGACGCACACAGACCAGACAGTAGTAATAATACTGCCAAGGAACTTGCTAGCCTTGCCTTTTGTGAGCACGAATATCAGCAGATCTATTTTACTGCAGATGCTGAAGCAGCTACTGCCTCTGATATTAAGGAAATAGGTTGGCGAGCCAGCAGGCAAGCACCTATATCGAAGGGGTGCAAACCAGATCCATCAAAAATAAGATTTACACCGGGAAGGACTACTTCTTTACTGTCATTTTCATCTGGTTCAGTTCTATTCGTATTATTTCCTTGAGGGGATTCTCCAGTAGGCCTTGTGATATCATCGTAAACTGTTAAGGAATAAGATCTGCATGCACCATTCAAAATCATACGGTTTTAGAGACTTGGGTGGTAAGCAAAATTAAATTATGAGCCTCCAAAGTGGAAAGAGCTAGATTTGGTTTCTTACTATTTCTATCACTGCACTTGGCATAAAATATTGTCATTTAAAAACAATCAAAATCATCCGAAAAACTTAAAAACAAAGACAAAGGAACATATAGAATGACAAGAATCAAAGAAAAGTTTCGTCATCTGATTAGCTTAAAGAAAGGTCCAGGAGATTATTTAAAAGCAATTGATCTCATATTTGCCAAAATATTGTTTGCTATTTTATGAGAGAGCATTCGGCATTGAAGGAATAAGCGAATGCAAAAGTCTAGACAAACCTAAGAATGTTGCCATCAAAGCTCAAAATTTCAGCTCGCCCACGCTCTCTATTAACAAGTTTTAATCTCTGATGCTCACCTGATGCCCCCGAGATCGGAGAGGAAGGGTCCAAAAGTGGGTTCCATCTTCCACTAGCATAGTTCATAAGTTGTCGAGAAGAATCCTTAGCCTGCTCTTTCTGATATAGAAGCTTTGCAGCAGGACCTGTTGCTTGGTATTCAGCACAAATGTCCCGCAACTTTTTCCTTAAGCTTTGCGTTGCATCATGGTATTCACTAATGAACCAGTTTGAAGGAAGTCTCATGAAACCACCTTCTTACATATTTTATAGCACAACTTTGGACTAAATAGAGGAATCCCAAACTCCACACTTAGTGGAACCCATTCATACTTTTCTTCAGGTGGCAAATGATCTGCTCCTTTTCCATTAAATAATTTCAACAGGCGAATGTAACCAACTGTCCACAATTCCATCTTGTTCGCCACATCAGTCAACAGACAATTCAACTTTGAGCTTTCTGCTTCACACAGACCTGACTCTTTTCCTACTGGAGCAATGGAGCCGTCAGAATTTTTTAGTGGCAAAGGGATATCAATAGTAATCACATTTCCAGAATCATCAAGATCACATCTACTGAGAGGTTGCACCAACAGAGCTGAATGTTTAAGAAGTGAATTTAAACAATGCAAGAGTATACTTCCCTTCACTAAGTTTCCTTCAAGTTTCCCTCCCAACCCTCCTACAGTGGAACCATCCCAAGACCATATAAGGGCCTTCTCACATCCAGCCAAGGGGGCAGGAAGCATGCGCAAGCATTGTCCTTTCATTAGTGCAACTGACAATGGCCCACAAGCTATCATTGAATACAATACCAGTTTCATCCAAGGAGCCATAGAAGAATATGAGGGAGGACCAAAATGAACAGGGCCTGCAGGTCCAGGAAGGATTGATGAATAAGGAAGAGGCACTATGGACACAACTATATCATAGTCACGAAGAAACAGACGATCTAGAGTAGCTGGTGCAAGAGAGGCCAAGCTTTCACAGCGGAGAATATCTACATGATATTTCTTTTTCCGCTTTAATATTTCTGTTCCAACATCCGACACATCAGCTGCTATTATTTTCTCATTATTCAGGAGATTGGCATCAGATTCACTGGCTTCTTGCTTATGACTAATGTCATCATCCAATGTGGTAGAAGGAGTTCCATCAAGTGTGCTGCTAGAAGTAGGTTCAGAGGAAGCAAGAGCATCCTCATGCTTCTTTTTATCCAAATTTGACAAATGATCACTGTCCCTCCTGGACTCTGTGATACTGGAATCACCTGATTTGTCAGCCAAGGATGTTTCAGATATTAGAGAAGCTGACTCATCATTGTTTGAAGTTAGCATACCCATGCTGTCAAAAATTTCCCCCACTTTTGCATCAGTAGCAAGTCCACCTGATTGTAAACATTCTAATACACATCGCAAGCTAAAAGCATGATTTGCAAATTCCTGTAGTTCACCCTCAAATTTTGCACCCTCCAAGGTACTTAGATCCTTGCAAAGATCAGCAATGCTGGCATGACCCAATTTTCCCGCTTCATAGAGCGTAACAGCATGAGATTTCAAGCCTTAACAAATTTCACACAGAGGAGAGATTTTTTTCAGAGACTTCAAACATATTTAAAAAAATCAAACGAATTCTCACACACATGGGAAGGTAGAGGACTAACAAACTCATGATCTTATTGACAGTGAAACAGAAAGGCTTGCTAAAACTGCTTAGGCATAACAAGAACATGCCCCCTTTTTTGCAAGCTTTGGGACTCAGATCACAACATAGCAATTCATGGGCATTCATCTAACAGTTTAAGCTTTTGATCTGACGTGTCCCTTGACAATTAGAGCCTCAATGTCAATGAAGTTAGAGTTAGACTGATGAATTTGATCCTTGATGTCTCCATTTCCATAATCAAATTAAGTTTCACCAGAAGGACTGGTGGGCGTGGTAAAGATTAAGATAAAGCTATTCATGAATCTTCATTTAATAATTTGTAGTTGGTTTGGCTGGATTCCTTCATAAGTTGTTTTGATCTTGATAAAATTATAAATAAAACGCTGGTATTTCAGCCTCAGCTTATCCGAACTCTGTTAAACATGTACTTTTAAAAGAGGACAAGGACAAGAAGGAACAAGCTCACGTCTTTGCGAATTCTTCAGCACAGTTTTTTGTGAAATCACTTGTGAAAAACCAAACAAATAGAAAAGCCTCCTGTCAAAGAAAAACAACCCAAAACAGGCATTGAAATGAAAGTCCTAACATGTGTGTCATTCATGCCAAGATGACGACATCTTGACACAAAGTAGCATGAAGAGGATCAGTTTTTGCATCGAGCATTAAGAAACCATTAGTAGGAAAAAATTGGCGACAAAATGAAGGGGTTCTTTGGCCAATACTAGCTGTTAAAGCTCAGTTTCTACCTTTATTTTTCCCAACAAAATCCCGCATGCATACTACAATACATGTCCCACGGAACATTCAACCATATCTCTCGTCAAGCCATTCAAGCAGTTGTGATCAATCTGCTATCTAACAGTGAGTACATTATCAAACGAGCAAACCAATGCAGGAAGGCTTTTCTTTTTTTTCTTTTTGTTTTTTTTAATAAACCAATGCAGGAAGTTGGCTGCACCATTGTTCCAATATTCTTGCTATTATGCCAAGAAATAAATTGCCGATCTTAGCATCCTGTAATTTTCATGCCCATTTTTGTTTATTACTTCAATTTCTGGAATCAGTTACAGAACCCCAGGTTTCACATCCATATTCCTATCAAATTGCCATCCATCCCTATAAAGCAAGATTCTGGGACGAAAGATTGGACACTATCATGAGCTTCAATGTACTCACATAAAAACGAAGCTAACGTACATTGGAAGTTTAGAAAACATGATTGCATGGTACCATCAGCCGCTATTAAGACTCACAGACAGAAATGAATTGTTGGACTGGAAAAATCAATCTGAAGCGTGTTTAAATTTGACAGAAAATGGAAAAGACAGCATTCAAGATACATACACCAAACTAGATTTACATACGAAATATAAAATAAAAATGATAAAATATCTAAGGGGGTTTTTAAGTATTTATCCACATATCTGGAGGAGACACCTAATTATGATGGCTTTCCGCCACAGTATCAAAAATACATCATCAGAAATCTAAGAATGGGCTTACTGTGACCTTTCATTTTCCCACTCAAAACAATTGACATTACAAACAAGTCAAAAACATATCCCAGAATTTTAGAAAAGGAATTTAGGCTTTAAGGAAAACAAAGTGGGGATATGAAAATGAACAAACCTGGCGAAACAGAACCCATCATTAAATAGGATGTAATGTTAGCATCAACTATGAAAGCAACACGCGTATAGGCTGAATGAAGACCATAGTTCCCTGGTCCTGAAACATCTCCTTGTTGATTGGTATCATTATCAATATAGCATATTCTCAGAACCCAGACTAGCATGAGAACCATCTTCATGACTGACTACACTTCGAGGAGAAGCAGGCATGCTAATATCTTGAAGAATAGCTGATGGATCAATTACTTTTGTTGCCCATTCCAATCGGCATACAAAAGATGCAGCAGCCTGCAATTGAGATAAATCAGCCTGTAGTGTAGCTGCCAATTCAGCAAAAGTTGCATTCTCACTTGAAACAACAAAGACCGCATAAAGTAACCTGGAAAATAAGCTTCCAACTTAGACTCTTTTAAAGGAAATAACATTTTAAACAAAAAGGATGGAACTGAAAATTGAAAAAACTTCATTACTCTTCAATAGGATCTTCATAAGACTGCTCCCTGTTGGAAACAAAACCTTCAAGCCTGGAAACTGAACCATTATAAATTATAAATTTAGATGTTATTGAAATCACTTGCCAACCTTCACCAGCTCAAATGACAATGCAGAACCTTCAAAATTCGTTTGAACTATATAAACATAGATTTTCTACATTTATGCTTGCATATGTTACATACTTATAAAACTATGCCAAATTGAACATGTTTAGCAATTAAGCACCCCTACTCCAAAAAAGTAACCGTACATGTATCCAATACAATACACGTACTGTACTTCATGATACATATAACCTATTCTAACATTTTGTAGCACAATTTTTATCAACAAAAAAAAAATCTTAATATTTTTTGTTGATTGCTATAATATCTTTATCTTACATTAGAAATATTTGTGAAAAACTCAAGACAATAATACCCGTATCCTAAAATTTTGAAATATATATTATACATATTCCCATACCCACCCCTTTAAATAATATA